GAAATAATCAGGTCGACACCAGTGAGGCGAGTAAAGTTAGTGCAAATCACGTTAATAGCAGTGGGATAAGTGCTGTGGACCCCACGGTCAGTTCAAAGATAAGGAGGCGAACTTGTTATGAGTGTGGAGAACGCGGCCACCTTTCTTCTTCTTGCCCGAAAAAGCTAGCTGAATCGACAAGTCCTGCACCAAGTTAATATTGTTGTAGGATATTTCATGATTGTCATATGGTGTTTCTATATTTTTCGAAAAATTCGAAATATTTTGTGACTTTACCCTCCCTTAGTTCTCAAAATTTTGATTTGCTCTTTTACACCAGATTGATTTGCTCTTTTACACCAGATTTTCCATCGTCCGGTTGACACGAAGTCTTGCCTGGCCAAATGCCTCGTATCTGGAAAGAGCACAATGTTTTTAATCTATTTATTCTTCTTTTGCTCGGGGATTGAGTCCATGGTTTACTTGCTATTACAGAAGAATTTCTCAATTCTATAGTGAATGCTAGCTTTAGTTGAAGATTATGGTCTTGGATCCCAAAGTTGAAGTTCTGAGTTCGCAACATATTCAAATACATGAATCAAGATTTCTACGAAACTGAAATTGTCACTGCCATCATTAAAATCATATGTAACTTTCATGTGACTTAAAGTTGACTTTTAAGTGGTTTAACGATTTTGCTCTCCAGCGCATATAATTTTAAATGTGTACACTGATAATTTCTATCACATGGAGATTCAAATTTATACAATTTAATAAGACTCGAAATCTCCCTTTCAAATGTTAAGAATTCAAAACCACTTATTGAAATGTGCGGGTCAAGTCTAGAGAAAGCATACTATTATTTGAACGAGCCCTGCCATGTTTCATGGTCAACAGGCCCACCACCCGTAGGGGGCAAGGAGCTTTTTCCTATTTGAACAAATAATTTCAAAATTTCTTAATACGAACGTCAACAAATGGGTATGTATATATTGATAAGATATGACTGCTTCCATGCTCCTGTATTGTCATGGTGGTGGCTCAGATTTTTAAGAGCAGTTTCACGGAAAGTGTTACACATTTGTGAATTTCTTCGAGGATTGGACACTTTCAAGATGGAACTCTAGAAGACGTTGACAAAGGAGTATTTGTTCCCTGAATTAATTTGTTTATCTTGTTATTACGGTTTTTGTACACCGTAAATTATATGGTATCAAGCTTTTTAATATATGAGAATTAGAGTATCGAACTCACGAGGATTGATATTTAATTCCTACTAAGTACTATAATTATTTTAGCTTTTACTTTATCTAAAAATCAAGTTTACAATCAATATTTTTTTATATTAATCTAACATAGATGTGGTGGCAGTTCAAGTACGATAAGACAAATTATACGAGATTTATCAACTTGGGAAAGCCTAGGGATGATTTTACCGCATTATCAACAATGTTTTCAACTTTTATAGCTGCAACTATTAATTTTCCTAAGTTTATTGGTAAAAACTCTAAATTAATTCTATTTCTTTTCTCGAGTGTCGAATATAACCTATCTCCATTTCGAATTACATCCAATAGAAATTATCAGGAACGTGGTTCTTAAATGAAATAGGCCTAAAAGATTTCATATTTTTCTCTTGAAACCTATAAAATCTAGGTTATGTTATTCTTAGATCGTGCCTAAATATCTCTCTGCCTCTAGTACCGAGATTTAAAATATCAAATCATTCAACTATTGATTAGGTAATTGAAAGCAATGTGCAATAATCAACACAACTCACGAAAAAATCAAAAGAAATAACTATATTAGAATCCAAACATATTCCAAGTTAGGTTACATCAAACCCTAGATCTAGAAATTAGTTAATGAATAAGAGAAAATGCATAATCCAATCTAATATTAAGGACATGGAAAAGAAATGAATGAGAAAAACTGGTTTCGCGCTTGAATTCTTTTCCCAATTGCTCTCAAGCAATCTCTTGTTTCCTTGCCTCTTAAGCTATATCCTCCTCCAAAAGTAGGTCTTTAGGTTATTTTTATAGTCCCTTAACGTTTCAAGGCGAGATGGGGTTTCTGTTGATTTTCTGGCCGTTTCTTGGGCGCCTAGGCACCAACGTGCGGCGCTGTAGCTCTTATATGATTCCTTTGCATTTGGCCTCATTTTCTTGCCTCTTTTCCACTTTATTTTTCTCTTCTTTCATCTTCACTCCATGCCCACTTCCATGATCAACAATTTAGCTCCATTCCAAGCTCCAAAATATGTCGTTTTCACTACGTTACCTAAACTACGGAACAACATAAACAAACACATCAAAACGCACAAAAGTGCCCAAGAACAAACCGAAAACTATGCTTTAGAGGTGCTATTGCACTCATCACTTGTCTTCTTTCTAATATATATAAATAACACATGGTACATTTTGCTCCCTCAACCGTTTTGGTGAAAATATTGAATTAGACTCTAAATATAAGAAAATTGAATCAATTTTGTGTAACTCATTAAGAAGCTTGCACGGCATGACATAAGCCAGTTCAATATGTCGCACAGTGCCTTATTTCGACCTAGTTCACTATACAAAATGTTAAAATGGAGACCGTTTGAAGTCTCTATCTAGACAAGTCGAGCCCCAAAAGCAAAAAGGTTTTTCTATCATTAAAAAACTTCGTTTTGAGTTTCTACCTAAAAATTTTCCTTTTTACCGTATAAATTACGATAATGGAATTCAATATTTGCCTGCCAAAATGTGTCACTCACTGTGTTTCTACTTTATAATACCCTTGTTTGATCCCCATTCTTTAGAAAAAATAAATTCTTCTACAGTGTTTTGACATCATTTCAACCACACATTCTTCAATAAGATAATATTACACGCAAATTCAAAACTTTTCCTTATTTTTTAACCACACATTTTCCATCAATACACTATTCAAAAATTCATTTTTTCCCTCAAAATGGGGCTCAAACAAGGGCAATATATCCTCATCATTATCCTACATAGAGAGGGAGAGACGGGGATGAAGAGTGAAAGAAAAGTTCGTGCAGTTTACCCTCTCAAGAAATGGGCAGCTTGAGCATATCCTCATTTCATCGAGATTCCACTCTCCTCTTCAAATGGTCTTTATCTTGGATATTCCCTTGATGACTTACCAATCTAAGACACTTACTTTAGGAAGAGAATTTATATTTTATGTCGAGAGATTATCTTTTATTTCCTTCTATTTGTTTAATAGTTTTCCTCATCTACTAGAAGTCCCACTATAAGTATGGATAGGCCTTTGATTGTAACCCACTTTAATATTCAATAAACTACAATTTCTCCCTCTTTAACTGCTCCGTCATTCTTCCTCTTTCCCGTCTCCTCTTCTCTTTCAATTCTAGTCCTCGTTACAAGCATTTTCCAGAATTTGGCCACTTTGCTATACAGGGAGGTATTTACAATTAGAAAGAAAAATTTGGTATCATCATCATAATTAGAAACAGATTATATGAACAAAGCAATACCCCCTTTATTTTTTCGTAGTTGGAATATCTGTGTAAATACCAAAACATAATCATTTTTTATGTTGTTTTGGCATTGAGAGACGAAAATATACTACAATGAGCAACAATGGAACGAGCAGAGTGGAGTAACTGAAAAAAATTTCAGCCTGGCACCAAATGCCAGGGAAAATGGAAAACGATTAGTTGCATAGACATGAATGACAAATTTCATTCTTTTTCAGATAGAATTGGACTTGACAGAAAGCGATAAGCAAAATAGTATTGAAGGAAATATTTTAATGAAGAGATCAGAACCCATATCTGGTAGACACAGAAAATGTGCAGAGACGCATCTTGGAAGAACTGCAAACAGTTGTATCCGCACAAGATTCAGAGATGAGCTTTCTCTTGCATCAACGGCCATTGGATTCAAAATCCCTATAAGAGACAAAATAAAGTTTCTTTGGGTAAAAATCATGAAAACATGTCCGAAGCAAATTCATCAAGAAGAAAAACTTCTTTGTTCTTAAGTTGTTCCCCAGAACGTGTGCCACTTAGGAGATAAAAGTCATTCATAGAAGACAGAAATTTAAATGCTGCTTTTCAATAATACACAACTACACACTTCCACCTCGTAAAATCTAAATCTATTTCAAATGTTCATAAGTAATCAATCAACCTAGACTCTTTCAAACGTTTAAGAAATTTTTGAGTCTCTTTTGAGTTGCATGTAAACTTGCCTTGAGCATTGTCTTCTCTCTCAAGAAATGTTGACAGGATACGATGAACTTCAAGTAGCCAACTCACACGATCATCATATCAGTTACCTTCGGTAAAGGCATTTGGCATACCTAGACAATTTTGCAGTTTGAAGTGGACCTAATCTAAGCAAAATGGCTAGTGCCCAGAAAAAATGACTCCTGCAAGAAGCCATTGTTCATTTCAATAAATTGTGTCAAAGAACATACAAGCTCCCTCAACTGCCCATAGGCATACATTCAAATCAACAAACCCTGCATAAATTTGTAACTTTCTCCCAGTACTTACATGTAAGATAATATAACCATAGAAAGTTACACCATTAAGAAACAAATTCGAATTTGTCCTCCACTGTATAAAAGGAACTAGAATTATAAAACAAACGCAATGACCAATGTGGTCTACCAACTCAAAACCTCATATTTACATGGCTGCTGGATTCACAGTTGAAGTCAATCCATGCATTTCCATTATTAGCCATCCCAATGAAAGAGAAACTTTGTAGTAAAGCTCCTTGTGACCAGGAGACATGGCAAAGTCGGCCCCGTTTCCACAATGCTCACATCCTACCAAAATTTCCAATGATTTACAACATAAAATTAGCCCCTGTTTGGTGGGAATTAAAATTAGATTTTTGGTAAATTTTAATCGAAGTTGATGGAATGATTGGTTGAAAAGTCGTAGGTCCCTTGAAATGTGTGATTAAAATTAATTGTTGAATCACCCCTATGGCACTACCTAAAATTCTAAAAATCATTCATCTTATAAAACCAATCAAGAATGACGACCAAAAATAGCTTCTAATATATGCAAGGGAATGTATTCAATGTGTACATGTAAATATGATCTAGGGCCAATCTAAGCCCTTCAACTAAAATCAACCCAGCGCTCTGCAAAATCTCTCTAGATCAATAATGTTCCAAAACAAAAAATGAAAGAATGGGTACAAAGAGATCCGTCCAACCCCCACGATATCCTGCATCAGAGATGAACACAATATCAGCCTTTTAACCACTGAAAATAACAAATAAATAAGTTTTTAGACATCTCAGCCATTCAATAAATGAGAAACAACCTCCACAATCTTCAAACAAAAGCAGGGGAAAATAATTTATAAGGTCCATAACTTGGAAACAACAATACATATCAGCTATTACCCCATTAAAATATTAATCAGGCAATTTCTATGTTTTAAAAACCAGATCGACAAGGCTGGTTCAACATGAAAAAGGGAAACCAAGATCAAAATTTGTCAGATAATTGTTTGTGATGAAAATTGAATCAAGGAGGTTAAGGCGCGCGTGCACACACACGCGCGCACACACACAAAAAAGAGGAAGTAAGGTTGTATATCGAAATAAACACTTACCAAGATTACCCAATGTCTCGGATGTTGGCAGTGCTGGCAAGGACATCTCTGCAAATTGATGAAAATCTCATCACAATATTTTCATTTATGAATTTGTATTTGAAGGATCATCAGCAATTACATTATATCTTTCGAACCCTTTACTGGGTATTTATCGAAAAGATAAACATCTAGTTCTTTGGAACCATTACCAGGAGCACAAAGAGATAATGATGTGAGAGAAGATGATGAAGGCCATGGAGCTGCAATATTGTCGTTCAAATCACAAGTAATGCTTAAGCCAGCTGACTTATCATAAACCAAATCTGCTGGCAAGCTATGAAGCAAACAACCTGAGTTAACGTGAAAAAATATCAGCAAGAATCACATACTATTTTACCAACAATATCCTAGAAGCCATGCTTAAAAAGGTGGAAATAGGTACTCGGGCATTTTTACTTTGTGAGATGAGGCATAAGCCTTGAGATGCAAGCCTCACCACAAACCAAAAACTTAGTCAAAAAATTATAAGATAATATAATTATTATTATTTTTTGAAATGTAATCAAATATTGTATTAATCAAAGGATAATACATAGGAAGGGTACTATTTACTTTAAACAAGAAAGAAACAACATGAAATTTGGCAACCCGTCTATATGACTAGTAGCCGTTACATTAAACCAAAGAGATGCAAGCCTCACCACAAACCAAAAACTTAGTCAAAAAATTATAAGATAATATAATTATTATTATTTTTTGAAATGTAATCGAATATTGTATTAATCAAAGGATAATACATAGGAAGGGTACTATTTACTTTAAACAAGAAAGAAACAACATGAAATTTGGCAACCCGTCTATATGACTAGTAGCCGTTACATTAAACCAAGTATAAAATGTCAAATAAAACAATTCCCTAATCTGCTCAGTTATCCGTATTTGATCATCAAAATAGCGACTGTTTCTTTTTCTCTACACACTCTATACAATGCAATCCAGAATAAGGTCCCACGGGCTTGCAATATTTATTACGAAACTTTTTCCTCCATGCCTTTAACACGTCTTTTATACGCCTCGGCGACACTTAATCTATGTGTTGAGATGCCAGAATATCACAGCAAACGAGTAACATTATAATGAAGGAACAAGTGGCCAATCATCTCCCCGTCCCTCCTACACACACAACACCACTCCGTCACATAAAAATCCTTGTTCGAAAATTATCCAGCATCAATACCTGTATCCTAACAACCGTCCACAGCAAAAATGCCACGCTTTGAGGCAATTTGCATTTCCATACTATCTGCTACGGGAATGAACTCTCCACCGGTCCCAATAAGAATCTAAAATAAGTGCCGACTGAAAAGATACCATCCCGTGTCAACCTCCACCTGCTACAATCACCCTTTTCCACCCTAAAATACACCTCATACAAAGATGTCAGAAGCAGCGCATAATCATCGACTTTCTAGTCCTACAAACCCTATCGAAAAATAATGTTCTAACTTCTAACTGAGAGTTATGTATATCTAAGACCTCATTTACCGTAGTAGGCTGCACCAAAGTAATACGATACAAAGAGAGAAATCTCACCATAAGTGGTTGCTCTCCACACCAACAATCATCTCAAGAACTAATAGCATTACCATTCTCCATTATAAAAGTCAATCTATCTCGAAAATCGCTCCACCCTTGTCGGATATACCCCCACAAACTCACCCCATAAGCACAACGGCCATCGATCGAGCACCATCCCCCTCACTGTATATTGTTATTATAATTTCTCTCCAAAAACTCTTCCTCTCCACTTCGAGTCGCCGCAACCACTTACCCAACAAGGCTTTATTAAATAATACAAGACTCCTCAATTCGAGATCTCTCACCCTTATTGGAGAACAAATTGCACCCTAGTTAACCAAATGTAATTTCCTCTCCCCCAATAAACCATAACCAATCAATCTTAAAAAAATCTCCAAAGAATTAACATCATTACTGCCTGGTTTTAAGAACCTACCGTTATATCTCGTGTAAGAACTTTAGGAAAATAAAAATAAAATGAGAGACGTGAAGGAGATGAAATATAGAAAAGAAAGAAGAAAATAATAATAATATATACCTCCCGCAGTTTTAGAACGGCCAGTTGCCAGCTTGCAATCTTGGAAAAGCTTCTTCTTTCAGGTGGGGTACTCAAATTGCTAGTGGGGTTTAGTTTTTTTTAATTGTTTAGTCAAATTTGATAGGGGCAATTTTTTGCCTTTTTTTTATTTAAGTTGGGCCCAATTAAAAGCCTTTAGGCTTTATCACTCAAAATATAGAAATAAAAAATTCAAATTCAAATAAAACATGAGCAAGACGTACGCCACATGAGGCAATTGAATTGAGGTGTGTGCCTTGCCTTATGCAATGAGGCAGCTGCCTCAAAATAAAAGCACTACAAGTAGCGCCCTGAGGTACATGTACTAAACCTCAAGTCCGCCCTTTTTAACCATGCCTAGAAGTGCTACCTCTCAATCTCATTTGAGAAGATATGTCTCAGTCAAGCATAAGATACAACATTCAATTGTAAATAATTAAAAATATGCTGTTGGCTATTAACATTCTCGTTAACTGAGTCTCCCACCGTGAAACTCCAAGACCAATAGAACCAAATCCTGATCATGTTTTTGCTTTAATTAGTTCCCTTTTGGAAGAAAAAGATATGCTGGTGAAGATCACAATTAGCTAAAACTTAGTCAATCATTCACCAATACTCCTTAAATTCTTTCCAAATCTATAGGAGATATTCTGCATCAGTTCAAAACTAAAAAGTTTCCTTGAATCCATGTACCAAAAATGGTAGGAAATTGCAAAAGATTTTCAGCAGAAAGTAGCATTCTTGAAGATTAAAGTTATTAGAAATGGAGATGCTTAGACATGAGACTTATAAATTTAATAAAACGTCAACATCATGTACACATAAAAGCTAGTGTACGCGTCTTTACTCTTGGTAATTGTTGACAAGAATTGAAGAAACACGGGAGAGAAAATGGTAGAACTTCTTTCTCCCCTCTACTTTCATTATATAGTGAAAACAAGAATACAATTATGGAAACACAAGAATACAATTATGGAAACTATGTAGAAGTATGGGAAGACAATAAACCTATATCATGCCCAATCTACGCGAACCTTTATTAATTTATTCCTTAATACCCCCTAGAGCTGGAGCATATATATCATATAAGTCGAGCTTGAAACAAAGAAACCTCAACCAATTACCATTCAATGACTTCGTAAATGTATTAGCAAACTAATCTCCCGTTTTCACAAATGGTGTACACATATCACCATTCACTATTTTGTCTTGAACAAAGTGACAATCAACTTCAATGTTTTTGGTCCTTTCATGGAAGACTAAATTGGATGCAATATGTAGAGTAGCCCGATTACCACATAGCATTGGAATAGGGATAGAAGGTGAGAGATTGATTTCTTGAAGAAAGTGCTGCAACCATGTCAACTCACTAGCAGTATGAGCTATTACCTTATATTTTGCTTCTACATTTGACCTCGCTACTATGATTTGTTTCTTACTATTCCAAGAGACAAGGTTTCCATCGAAAAAAGTACGGAAACCAGTAGTGGATCATCTATCTGATGGAGATCCTATCCAATTTGCATCTTAAATCCTTCTACTTTGATATGTCCATTTGGTTTATACAATAATCCAAGACCTAGAACCTTTTCCAGATACCAAATAATATGTATCACAACTTCCCAATGAAAAATTCGAGGACCATCCAAGAACTGACTAATAACGCTAACTGCATATGAAATATCTAGTCGTGTAATAGTCAACTTCCCAACCAAACGACGATATTTTCCTGGTTCCTTAAACGGTTCTCCTCCATCCTTTAAAAGCTTTACATTTGGATTCATAGGAGTATCTACTGGACGAGTTCCAAGAAATCCCGTTTCATCTAACAGATCAAGTACATATTTTCTCTATAAGATGATACTTGCTCGAGACCTAGCAATTTCAATACCCAAAAAATGTTGAAGCTTACCTAGATCTTTGGTCTGGAAGTGTTTTTGTAGAAACTGTTTCAACTAGACAATCCCATCTACATTATTGCCAGTGATTACAATATCATCTACATAAACTAAAAGGATAACATGGCCTGCACGAGTTTATAAATGAATTACTGAATGACCTATCTGATACATCTGAAGACCAAATTCCATAACTTCAGGAAACATCCCAAACCATGCCCTTGGTGATTGCTTTAACCCATATAAAGCCATGACTCTCAGTTCAAAAGAATCCCATAATATCCTTTTTATGCCCTAGAGAGACATAATCTATAATTGAAAGTCTCAAATTACTAAATAGCTTGTAAGTTGTAATAGAAAACCTATACATAAGGAAAGAAGATCAGATAAAACTTAGAAGTAAATATAAAAGTGGAGGGAAAAAATGACCTTGTTGTCCATCAGCTGCTCCAGCAACAACACAAAAGAGAGAAAAATTAGAACCAGGAAAGTAATAACTTCAAATAAAAGATTCTAGAATGACACCTCCATTGAAACACATACTTTGGAGACTAAAATCTTTCAAGTCCACATCACAAAGCTCAAAAATATTGGTCATCACACCACCCTTCTGTAGCATGGACCCCAACCTTGCTGCGCAGATTATTGCTTGGCGATTTGTTATCAACATTTGCTTTTGTATTCCCGCAATGTAAGTATTTAATGAGCTACAACATGAAGGGCTTGAAGCAGCTACATTTTTACATGCTACAATCACTTCTGATGGCTGCTTTAAATCCAATGGACAAGCTACATTCAAGAAGGCAACTATTTAAAACCTAATAGAATATATAAACAGAACTATAAAGGGGATATGTACCAAAGCTGACAAGTTTCTCTCTTCATTCGTATTTAGGAAGGAAACTACAGAAATGGTTAAACATAATTAAGAAGTAGAGGAGAATTTAGATCAGCATGATGTTTCAGCAAGTAAAGTAACATCATCAACGAGAAATTATAATTTCGAAAGCAATAATAATAGTAATTTTTAAACACTTCCAGATCAATGCCCTGGTGATGTATGTACAATTTTCTTATCATGTTATCCCACTACAATTGACGCATCAGATATAATCCATAACTTAAGAAGAAAAAGGTTTTGATGAATGTCTAAATCCTGTGAGATTACATGAAATTATGGTTGGAGGTACAATAAAGGGAAAGATATGGTGAGTAAAGAAAGTGAAAGGAGCATAAAATATTCTCAAACACACAAAAAAGAAGTACCAATAAACCACACCTTTGTTAACTTTGCAGGCAGACAATATCCGATATGCTGTATTAGCAGCATCGTGTGGAAGTGTCCTAGACATCCATGAATACACCACCCCTTTACAATCATTAAGCATGTTGAGATGATTCGTATCATTATTCACAAATGATTGTGTCCCCGATAGCTTAAGTGAAGCTTCTATAATTGCAGGCTGACAAATTGGTCTGCAGCATTCCTTAAGTGGATCGACTGTGGTGCAAGCCTCCATTCAATGACTTCGTAAATGTATTAGCAAACTCATCTCCCGTCTTCACAAATGGTGTACACATATCACCATTCACTATTTTGTCTTGAACAAAGTGACAATCAACTTCAATGTTTTTGGTCCTTTCATGGAAGACTAAATTGGATGCAATATGTAGAGTAGCCCGATTACCACATAGCATTGGAATAGGGATAGAAGGTGAGAGATTGATTTCTTGAAGAAAGTGCTGCAACCATGTCAACTCACTAGCAGTATGAGCTATTACCTTATATTTTGCTTCTACATTTGACCTCGCTACTATGATTTGTTTCTTACTATTCCAAGAGACAAGGTTTCCATCGAAAAAAGTACGGAAACCAGTAGTGGATCATCTATCTGATGGAGATCCTATCCAATTTGCATCTTAAATCCTTCTACTTTGATATGTCCATTTGGTTTATACAATAATCCAAGACCTAGAACCTTTTCCAGATACCAAATAATATGTATCACAACTTCCCAATGAAAAATTCGAGGACCATCCAAGAACTGACTAATAACGCTAACTGCATATGAAATATCTAGTCGTGTAATAGTCAACTTCCCAACCAAACGACGATATTTTCCTGGTTCCTTAAACGGTTCTCCTCCATCCTCTAAAAGCTTTACATTTGGATTCATAGGAGTATCTACTGGACGAGTTCCAAGAAATCCCGTTTCATCTAACAGATCAAGTACATATTTTCTCTATAAGATGATACTTGCTCGAGACCTAGCAATTTCAATACCCAAAAAATGTTGAAGCTTACCTAGATCTTTGGTCTGGAAGTGTTTTTGTAGAAACTGTTTCAACTAGACAATCCCATCTACATTATTGCCAGTGATTACAATATCATCTACATAAACTAAAAGGATAACATGGCCTGCACGAGTTTATAAATGAATTACTGAATGACCTATCTGATACATCTGAAGACCAAATTCCATAACTTCAGGAAACATCCCAAACCATGCCCTTGGTGATTGCTTTAACCCATATAAAGCCATGACTCTCAGTTCAAAAGAATCCCATAATATCCTTTTTATGCCCTAGAGAGACATAATCTATAATTGAAAGTCTCAAATTACTAAATAGCTTGTAAGTTGTAATAGAAAACCTATACATAAGGAAAGAAGATCAGATAAAACTTAGAAGTAAATATAAAAGTGGAGGGAAAAAATGACCTTGTTGTCCATCAGCTGCTCCAGCAACAACACAAAAGAGAGAAAAATTAGAACCAGGAAAGTAATAACTTCAAATAAAAGATTCTAGAATGACACCTCCATTGAAACACATACTTTGGAGACTAAAATCTTTCAAGTCCACATCACAAAGCTCAAAAATATTGGTCATCACACCACCCTTCTGTAGCATGGACCCCAACCTTGCTGCGCAGATTATTGCTTGGCGATTTGTTATCAACATTTGCTTTTGTATTCCCGCAATGTAAGTATTTAATGAGCTACAACATGAAGGGCTTGAAGCAGCTACATTTTTACATGCTACAATCACTTCTGATGGCTGCTTTAAATCCAATGGACAAGCTACATTCAAGAAGGCAACTATTTAAAACCTAATAGAATATATAAACAGAACTATAAAGGGGATATGTACCAAAGCTGACAAGTTTCTCTCTTCATTCGTATTTAGGAAGGAAACTACAGAAATGGTTAAACATAATTAAGAAGTAGAGGAGAATTTAGATCAGCATGATGTTTCAGCAAGTAAAGTAACATCATCAACGAGAAATTATAATTTCGAAAGCAATAATAATAGTAATTTTTAAACACTTCCAGATCAATGCCCTGGTGATGTATGTACAATTTTCTTATCATGTTATCCCACTACAATTGACGCATCAGATATAATCCATAACTTAAGAAGAAAAAGGTTTTGATGAATGTCTAAATCCTGTGAGATTACATGAAATTATGGTTGGAGGTACAATAAAGGGAAAGATATGGTGAGTAAAGAAAGTGAAAGGAGCATAAAATATTCTCAAACACACAAAAAAGAAGTACCAATAAACCACACCTTTGTTAACTTTGCAGGCAGACAATATCCGATATGCTGTATTAGCAGCATCGTGTGGAAGTGTCCTAGACATCCATGAATACACCACCCCTTTACAATCATTAAGCATGTTGAGATGATTCGTATCATTATTCACAAATGATTGTGTCCCCGATAGCTTAAGTGAAGCTTCTATAATTGCAGGCTGACAAATTGGTCTGCAGCATTCCTTAAGTGGATCGACTGTGGTGCAAGCCTCCAGTAATTTGCTTGTGTTCACTATTTCCTCGAAATTATTTATGTCTTTCACAGGGCAAGAGCCACCTGTGAGATTTGAAGACTTTACAGAGCAGATGGCAGGTATCGAGCCATTCGCTCCTCTGCTGGCTAATATATTGATGATGTCTTTAAAACAATCATCAGCAACTGCATTTAGTAAAACTAAATTATCAGAGCTATTGCTATAGAATCCCTGGAATATGTGGAGCAAGCTACTGAACTGTGGGCAGCATATAACATTTCCTAGTACAGGTGCAAAGATTCGATTACAATCAGAAGCTGTTTTGTCCATGATATTTGAGATGGCAGAGAAATTCACAGGACACCTTCCAGTTAAGACAGGATCATAGGTTGGTGGAAAAGTAGGATACATTGGCGGCAATGGATCCCCAGGAAACTGAGAATGTGGAATAACAGCGGGCGATATTTCTATGGGCTTAAAGATTCCGCTTTTTGGTGGGCTAGCTTTTAGCATAGATGTGGAAGAAATGTGAGCAGGCACAAGGGATGTTTGCAGAGTCAATTGATTGTGATAGATAGTGGACCAGATAGCAAATAGAAGTAACCGATGACACCAAGAACCTGCAACAGAATAGATATACATCCAGAATAAGGACACATTTCTCTCCATAAATAATTAACTGCAAGGTTATACTCTATGATACAACATCCCACCACAGGTGAGCATGGTCCTATGGGTGGGAAAAATTGTTACTGTCAAATATTGTTCAATATAATCATTACAAGTCAGTCTTATAGTTGCAAAGTAGTTAACCAACGCATTTCTCCACATTTAATCAAATATTCTTTTGCATATTCAGGTAAGTTAGAAGCACTTCAGGAACAGATACGACCATTTTGAAACAGACTAGAAAAGTCTTAGATCACGAAATTTTCCATCAAAGCAAAGAAATGCTGAAAGATAGTATTAAGATTCAAGAAGCGAGCGTGATGGAATCAGGGAAGTTAAAAGCAGAATCTGGTCGCATACGAATCTGACATATAGCGCACGGCTTAATAGAGACTAGCCTCAATATCAGTACATGTTAATGTTTACAGTTGGACAGTAATTCAATACCCATACACCAAGCTCAAGCATTCTAACAAATATAAAAAAAAAAATTGTCATCTAGTGTCGGTAACCATTCACACCTTGTAGATACTAACCTCTGGAACAACATAATTGACGTATATAGTTGAAGGCCAGTCATTGAGTACGTATGTGCCATTTATTTCTTGACTTAAAGTTCCCAATCATTTTTTTGGCGTAATATGGGAAAGTTCACATCAAAATTCTTTCATCAGCTTGCAACCAGCACAAAATTGATTTTCCGATGACAGCTAACAATGAAACATTGCTGTTTCATTTATGCATCTATGATGGCTAAACAGTTAGCTGTCATGGAACATTTACCATGATGAACAATTCTCTAGCCATCATTACGTCTCTACCTGTTTTTCTTTAATTTTTCTTTTTATTTTTTTTATTTTTATATTTAATTAGTGACACAATTTTGATAGAGCAAATTAGAAGAGGGAGGGGTACCAACCAAAATTAACATAACATGTTGTAATTGCCAATAATCTAATTGCTTTAGATCTGATGGTAAATTTAGGATATCATTGTGTGTACCCATCGTTGTTTCTTAAAAGAATATATAGGGATATCATCTCAAAAAGATAATTTCATTTTATATTTTAAATGTCATTAACTATCCCGTTTGCAGAAATACACATGACAATAAGTTTTTGTAGCCTTTGTTTGCAGTTGTGCTGAGCATGGTTGGCTCAGCTTCCAAAGAAGAAAAAGTAACATTTTTTTCTTTTTTCTTTCTTTCTTTTTTTTTTTTTTCCAAACCTGTTTGGATAAGTTATGATTTTCTTGCTTCTAAGTAAATTATAAGCTAATTTCTTAAGCTCGCATTCGTACAAAATCCTTGTTTGGAAAATGCATTTTTGTTATTAATTACTTATGAAAATTTCAAGTTTCAATAACTACTAATTACTAAATCCTGTATTTAGACAGAAACGATTTTCTTTACAATTCATTTTTTCATTAAGTAAACCAGAAATTTCAGAACTTCTCTACCACTGTTAAAAATTACAATATGAAAATAATTAACTGTTCAATTGTACTGATACTGATTATTTTTACTCTTTATTTCCACATTAACCAGCAAAAAGATTATTTTTTTTAGTTTCTTCTTTTCATCAGTAATACCTAGTCATCAAAAGCTGATAACAAGAAAAGAAAAATAGAGCTAAAACCATAAATATTTAACCATGATCAAACCCATATCCACCTCACCAAAGAAAAAAGGGAAATAAAAAAGGAAACTAGGAGACTACGTCAAAAAAGTGAAACTCAATGCTCCGTTAAAACCTAAGTTAAAAAACCAAATGACTAATGAAACTCATATTCCAAAGATCCAACTTCGAAAAGTGCATAGCATCATTCAGAAAACAATAAAAATTACTATCAACAAGCACATGCACAATTGATTATAATACCTGAATCGAAAGCCCAGAAGAGGCCAGAAATCCTCCAGATCATTTTAGATTAATGAAGCTTAGGGCTCAAAATTAGAACCCTATATTGGTTAAATTTCATTATATGTACTCCCCAATAGCAGGATTTCCTCTTTGGCAGTGGTTTTTTTGTTTCGGCGAGACTTGTTACTACTGGAGTGGTGGTCGGGGTTGGCGGGGTCCATCTAACCACCTGATTCTGCCACGTAGGACTTTTCTGGCAAACCTAATAACGGGCCCTATAAATGAAAATTGAGTTTATAGGGCCTTTCGTGCCGTTTTTTACTTAGGCTTGATTTTTGAGGGCAAAAAAGAGGAAATTACACCACGGCGAGCATTTAAAAATTACAATTCATAAAGTATCAAATTTATTTGTTCAAAGATCATATATTAATTTAGTATATTACCCAAACCCTAAATTAATTCACCTACAAAAATTCTCTACCCATGCGATGCTCACTGCAATCGCATGGTTATGGTGGTGTTGTGTCGGGGGCCAATCCGTGTGTGCTGGTGTGGTGCAGGTGACGATTGTGTGGCGTAGGTAATGATTGTGTGGTGGTGGTCATTTTATTGTTGTTGGCAGTGGTGGTGTTGAGGTTAGATCTGTGTGTGGTGGTGTGATGCAGGCGACAGTCACGTGATGGTGGTCTTTTTTGTTGTTGTTGCGGTGGTGTTGTGATGTGAGCGATTCTGTGGACGAGGTTATTTGATGTGCAGGTGGTGATTGTGTGGTGGTGTGGTACATATGTCAGTTGTGTGATGGTAGTCATTTTTTATGTTGGCGGTGATGGTGTGACGGTGTTGTGGTGGGGACGAATATGTGGGTGGTGGTGTGGTACAGACGACGGTTGTGTAGTGATAGTCCTTTTTGTTATTATTGTTGGTGGTGGTTGTGGTGTTGTTGTGGCAGGGACGAGGTGGGATAAACGGTAACCTTAAAATTTGTGACTAACTATTAAATTGTGATTTTAAAATTGGATAATTTATGATTAAAAAAATAATTTATGATCAACAAATTTGAAAATATATGATCGATTGATAAATTGTGACCTATAAAATTTTTTGATCTGTGACCAACAAAGTAAACTATGACCTATACGATTTTTTATTTGTGACCTCGAAATAACACGTGACCAATTAATTTGATAATATATGACCAATAAAAAAGGTATGACCTATAATTATATACTTGTACCATTAATTGTATAATTGTGACATTATTTTTTCCTCAAAATTATACTTTTGTGCTGTTTGATTGATATTTTTTTATGAAAAATATTTTTCTAATTTTGATTACATGATCATATTTTTCTTGAAAATAAGGACAATATTTTCTTTTTGAGGTAGTAGGTTTTTATTTTTCAAATAATTCACTCTCACTTTCTCTTTCATCTTTTCCCCCTTTCCTATCTACCTACTAATAAAAAAGAACAAGTATAACATATTTCAGTCAATCAAATACATTTAATTGACAATTTTCATTTAGATAATTTTTAGGCAATTGAATATAAATAATTTAAATCAAATACATAAATCATAACAAAAGCTATAATTATGTTACAACAATGACTATATATTATTCCTAATAATTGCAAGATGTAGAAATTTTACATAACATTTCAAAGGAAATAAAAGCTAAAATTATGTTACAACAATGAAAAAATCTTACATTAAATTCCATCAGATAAAACCCCAATTCATAAGACGAACATTAGGATTATGGAGATGATTTTCGAGAAATAAAATTCAAGAATTGAATCGGATTACTTATCAGAACTTCTAATAATTATCCTTCCCAAGAACATCCACAGAGGGCAAGGTCTTTCAATAACGAAACTTAGGATTCCAAGAAATTTTAGATTGTAACAGGTCAAAGAGGATTTGATTATGAAAATTAATTTTTCACGATCAGAACTCGATTGAAGGACCAAGATCTGCCACAAAAGTCTCTGATACCATTATTAGAACAAAAATCAAACACAAGCTAAGCAAGATCGTTTATATCAAATATTACAAATCAAAACATGATAAAATTCTGATGATAACAAGTTGCAGGGCTTGTTTAAAAACCCTAGAGCCATCAAATCAAAGGGAGAACACACTACAACATATTTTGAAGGAGATTTTGAGCCAAAAATATGAGGAGAAACACAAAGATCGATGGGATTACGCATTAAATCGGTGATGTCGTTTCTTCAAATTTCTTCATGTTTTATTCTTTTCTCCATGTTAGATTAGATATTTCTGTACTAGGAGAATGATGAACCATGTAATGTGATATTTTGATTTCTAGTTTTACATTCTTGACAATAAAACGCGTTCTTTGAGTTTGAACGATTTATATGCAATTATCTTCTTAACAATTATTGTGCACGTGATTGTGTAAATCTGGTGACATATTTCATGCATTTGAGAGAAGGAAAATAAGCTCGACAGGGTATAAATCATCGTAGGGTCCAATAAGAGATAAAGATATATCGCTATGTCTTACGTGAATCTTTAAGTGTTCACGAAAACTCATGCATTCTTGTATATTTGCATCCGTCATAGAGATATAGTCGGATCATAAATGAGGATATGTTCAACGTTACTCGAGAGAGATTGTTGACTAAAATAAGAACATTGATTGTTCAACATTCAAACGTGTTGTCAAATTGTAGTACTAGGGTTAAAGATNAAAAAATTAAAATTTACTTAAAATATGATTTTTAGCCAAACCAAACATATGCTAAATATCAAAGAAGGTGTTATTCGAGTTTTTACTAATTTGAACATTATGTTCCCAATGCATGCACAAACTATCCCGAGTCACCTTTTTGGAAACTCGATCGCTACTATCCAAATGATCCATTAAATATGGATTACTTCATCATAACTGGTCAACTTGTAGGAAACCCCATCCCTCAAACATGACTAGGGAGCTGGTTCACGATTTAGAAATTTGGAGATGGCTACGATCTCTTGCATTGTCCTAGTGTGTGTACTTTTTGTGGTGTTGTTTTTAAAGATGTTGGAATTTATGTCCAAAATGGACACAGATGCTTTGCTAGAAACCAATGATCCATTTGTGGTTGTGTTTAAGAAGACATAAAGGTGTCTAAAGGGACCATTCAACTACATGCATTGCATGCTTATCTTGTTCAATGAAGTTGATGTCTGAATACGACTCTTCCTTGGTTCATTTACTAGAAAATATTTTAATTGTTTGAGAATAAATTTTGTAAAAAATAATGCTTTTTTGGGAGAATACGTAGTTAAAAAGAATAGAAAAGTTATGAATCCATGTGTAAAATTATTTTATTGAGAGAATGTGAAGTTAAAAATGAGTTTAAAAAAAATCAATTTTTAGGAATCTATATCAAACTGAAGCTTAATTTCTTAAAAAGTATCGATAGCTACGTGTGCTTTTTTTTTTTTTTTTTTTTTCACATTTTCAAAATTTTGAGTTATGCTATTATTAAATAATAAAATATAAATTTAGAATGGATTTTTAAAAAATAAATTGTCCAGAAATAAAATTAATTATAATTTTTTTCTTTCACGAGACGTGTTCGCTCAGCCCCGCGCCCCAAGACGAGGCGACGAGTTACACCCCGCCCAGCCAACCCGTTGGGGAGGGTTTTTTAGCCCCATTGGAGGCGGGACGGATTTTTTTACCATCACTATTAGGAGGGCATAAAGTCAAGCCTCCAATATACGTACACTTACTATGAAAATGCAAGAATAATGATTTCTAAAAAACTATTATTAATTATGAAGAGGTTTTCTTTTAATTCCAAGTAAAATGAATTGATAAATTTAATTAGGAATGGCACATTAATGAGGAATTGCCAAAATAATGATCTTCGTCGTACAATATTTCATCTATCCCAAATGTGCAAGTGCACAACACACACACACACACACACAAACATCCAATTAATAAGTTAAACATACCCCCTATTCAGTGTAAAATCTTATCAATCAAATAAACTTGAACTCTTAATTTAATTAAAACACACCTAAGTAATGAAAACAAAATAATTAAAGAAATGTTTCCTAACTGCTTGATTCTACTGGGGTGGTGATGAAAATTCGTCTTCGAATCTTCCGTTATATCTTCGTTCATTGCCTTGTCACGGCAGTTGACGTGTTTATCTACTAATTTTTGTTGGAAAATAGTATAATAAATTAATATATTAAAACAATATATTCAGATTGAATAAAATTATAACAACGATTCATGGATTTCTAGTTTAGTCAATTCTGTAGTTAATTTTTATTTGAATTAGTTCAATTCCATAATCAAATTGTTGTTACAAATTCATTCATAGTTATCTTAACATTATTTGTGTTAAATACAAAATTAATTGAGAATTTGAAACATCTCTCATCTTAATATTATATAATAAGTTGTTCTCCTTCTTATTTTTCACACCAAAAAATTTGAGAGTTTTTTCTTCACTCTAAGTTTTTCTCTTCTCGTCGGGGGTGTATTCATTTGGAACTTTTAAAAACTTTTGATTATTTAAAAAATTTAGGTGTATTCAATTAAAACTTTTAAAAACCTTCTCAAAATTTATGTATATTCAACTGAGACTCCTATAAAGTTTTAAAAAGTCTCTTAAAGTCATTGGGTATTCAATGAAATTTTTTATAAGTCTCTATAAGTCATGATGTATTCAAATTGATAGTGACTTCTGGAGAATTTTCTACTTACCAAACTTCTGGAGACTTTTTGATAAAAAGCAAAAAAAAAAATAAAATTAAATAGCAAGTCTCAAAAAATTCTCTCATATACTCTAAAGATTTGTGAAGATTTCAGAATCTGAATATATATATATATATATGATTATTCTATATGTATACATTTGTTGTAATCAATTTATGATTATTCTATATATACATAATTACATTTGAATTGAAATTATATACAGTTGTTTCAAAACGTAGAATTCCATGTAATCAATCATTTTTTTGTTAAGAACAATTTGTGTTATTAGAAATTATGTTAATTTCATGAAAAAATTTGGTTATGTTATTAGAAATTGATGTAATTTTTTTAATTATTTTATTTGCACCAAAATAGAATGATTGGATTGCGACTAGAGTGCCTATCCAAGAAAATTTTGTGGGCTCATGGTTTTCGAAAGTGTTAATTAGATAGTAAAAAAGATTTTAATTTTTCAGGTATATAATGAATTTGCAAGATTAAAGGTTTTTAAAAATCTTTAATCAAAATCTATAGAAATCCATGGAAGGCTTTTATTAATTCTTAACAAACATATA